CAGTGGAATTAAGGAATGGAAAATAAGTTTACATATTTTGCTGTTGCTGTTTACAGACATTGTAAAGGAAAAGTCTTGTATCAATGGAGCCAAATAGCTTCCTATTGAGGTTATGGAATTCATTTTTCCTTCCAAAAAAGCATCAGGAGCCATTTGCCTTATGTTTCAGGACCACTAATTTTGAGTGATTATGCTTATGTATGGGAAAACCTAGTATTCTTCAAATCGTTAAATTCCTACTTCCACAATAGGTGGTCTTGGCTATTTCTTTCATAAAATTCCAGTGTAGCAAAAAAACAAAAAATGGAACAAATGGATTCTGAATCTCCCTGCACTGAAGTGTTTAAAAATTTTTATGAACTAAATCCATCTTGTTGTTTGGTTTGGATGAAAGGACGGGTGTTGCTGAGAAACAATAGACTTTTAGAGTTAGAAGATCATGACCTGCTGTTTGAATGGCATGGATATTCATTGTACAATAAAGTTGATGTGGATTTTTAAAAAACCATTTTATTAGATGTACCATCTAATATGAAATAGATATAAACCCAGATATAAACTCATGTGCCCAAAAATACTTCCATGAATCTCAGCAAAGCATTTTATGGGAGAGAAACAACAGGCAAAGACAAATGGTTAATGTAGTTAATGTACCAGGAATTCTTGAAAAATCTACTGAGAAACATAAAATTAAATCAAGAGAGCAACTAATGGCAGAATAATATAAATTATTTTTAAAAAATGGAATGATGTAATCTTAGAGAGTGAAGTTTGGTTAGAATTGTACATGTAATTGTTGACCAGAAGTTCTGAAGCCCTGTCTGTTTGTCTGTCTATCTAGCTATCTACTAGCTAGATAGCTAGACAGAGGTCCCCAACCCAAAGGCCACAACCCACTACCAGGCTGCGGCCTATTTGGAATTGGGCTGCACGAGTAGCTGGCCACGTGTGCACGCAGCTCAACTTGCATGAGTGGCTGGCTGGCAGGCATGCCCGCCCACTGATCACACAATTTGAGCAGCGTGCATGCGCACCAGCCTGCCACTCACACAAGGGCTGTATGTATGCGCATGCGTACAACAGCTCACCACTCGCATGGCTCAATTCCCCTCTTCCCCCCCCCAGCCGGGCCGCCAAGCAGCAAAGCTGCTGACTTAATGTTTTCTGTTCTCCTATTTCCGTTTTTTTAAATCTCCTTTTCTATTTTTTTTTTTCACATTTACTTTACTATTTTTTCTTCGAATATATTTCTTGTTAGCTATGTAAAATCTTTTAACAAAAACTATTTAAAAAATAATTACGAACCAAATCTAGTGGAATCGTTACTCCCAGTGGCCAGTTGTTTTATGAAAATTATTCTAACGGAGGATCAGGAAGGGGGGAGATGAGAAAAAAAGGAATAGCCATGAGGGGAGGAGATAAGTAACCTATGCCCATGCTTTAATCAACTTTCATGGACTTCCTGATGCCTGTTAATTGTTTCCTGATCTACTGTAAGTTGTTTAGCTTCTCCCCAGCCCTGTCTCTATCACAACTCAAAAAAGAATTGGAACCCTTCCTGGATCTACAAAGAGTTTGAATCTCTGTCTCTATCACCTAATGAACTGTGAGACATTTCTTGGAGAAGAAAGAGTTCTACTCATGGTTAAATAGAGTGATAAGATCAATTGGCAATCCAAAAAAACAGGTTACTACAAAACAATACAAATATTCAGGAATTCAGTAGTGGCTCCCCATCAAGATAAAATTCCAAGGTTTTTTTTTTTATCCTTGAAAAAAATGTATGGCTACGTGATACAAATAAAAGCTGGCATGAAATGTTTTGTTTTGCACAGAATGCAACAAACTGTACTCAGTAAATGACAACTGCATAAAACATAGAACAAAGAACAAAGCTTTTCTCACATAGCTCACAGAAAATGTTGGGGGCAGAAAAAGGGAACATCACTGATATAGCTGGATTTTAAAATCAAACACAATCCAGACAAAAGTCTGTTATTTTATATATTCATCTAATATATATATATTAAAGAAAAAGCAGAGTGATGGATGAAAATAACAAGAGCCTGATAGTACAGTGGACTAAAGCATTGTGATTAACACCAGCTGTCTGCAATTACTGTAAGTTCGAATCTCACCAGGCTCAAGGTTGACTCAGCCTTCCATCCTTTCTAAGGTAGGTAAAATGAGGACCCAGTTTGTGGGGGCAATAAGCTGACTTTGTATAAATATACAAAAGTATGAAGGCTATTGCTTAACGCATTGTAAGCCGCCCTGAGTCTCCGGAGAAGAGCGGCATATAAATCAAATTAAAAAAATAAATAAATAAAAAAATCACAAGTCAGTCAAAGACCTTCCCAATGCCATTTTATTACTGACTACTGGAAGGTGCAATCCAAAAAGGAAGAGACAAATACTTTTTAAAAAAAATTACAGCAGTGTTTTCATGGGGAATAAAGTGTGATTTCTATCTGCAGTAGAAATAAAACATAACCTAACTCATGGAGCAAGTGCTTAAATCAGATAAATATGGGTTATTTTCATTTCTTCTTAAATAAATGTGTTCTTAGACTCAGCCGTAAAACAAGCAAAACAAAAGTTTTGGGTACGTTGATAATTACCAGCATTTAACCTTCTTCGCAAGATCAGTGTTATGACACCTTGTGCATGTGACAGAATTAACTTTCATTTCCATTTGCAAACTTTCAGCTTCCAGTTCAGCACACTTTAATTTTATTTGGAGGAGAGGGACAACATGTTGGCTGAAAGGAGCTTCTGAACCTGACACGGTAATTCCTCCGTCTTTCATGTTATCCTTCACTTAACTGTCTTGTCTGTCCAAGTTTTCATTAAAAGCATTCTTTCTGTTTAGAATGCAGGGCTTTGACATTTAAATCTGTGTATGCTCAATGCATCAAGGCTCTGTTTCTCATTGCAAGTTTATTTATTCACTCCAACAGTTTGACATTTGGGCTGTTGACTTTTCTCAGTGGAAAGAAAAAAAAAAAGGAGGGGAAATTGCTTGCAGGATACCATCACTGCCTTTTAGCACAGAAAACAGGGTACTGTGTTCAGGAGACCCTCCAATAATGTGTAATGTAATAAAATTCCTTTTATCATTCAAACTATGAGTAATAACTTTTATCCCACCCCACGCCACCCCCATTATTCTGCCATATGCCTGTCATTTTATACAATTCTCAGTGAAAACTCTGCCTTTGGGTCTATTAAATGTTCTGTTATTTCAGCCCACTTCTCTATTCTGTCAAGATTATTTTGAAAGTTATTCCTGATTTCTTGAAAATTAACTACCCTACCTGGTTTTGTACCCAGTCAGCATTACTTCCACTTCTTTATCCAAGTGATTAATTAAGAAATGGTAAGAAGTATTCAGAGACCAGGCAGATTCTGTGACATCCCCACTCAATCAGTGGTAAGTGTTGTTTGAAGACAATGTATCAGTGGTGGGTTGCTCCCGGTTCGGTCGGTTCTTGAGAAGTAATGGTGGCGGGAGGCTCCGCCCACCCACCTCAACATAATCACTGATGATCTGCGCATGTGCAGAAGCGTGTGTACGGGCGCGAGCGCTCCTGTTGCAAACCAGTAATAAAGGTAAGTGGAACCCACCCCTGCAATGTACCCAATTTTAAGGCCGCACTTAACTAGATGCTATTCTTGTAAGACGAAGAAATGAACAAAGCAACCTTAGAGGATAATTCCATTGTGTCTGGGAGATTCATTTCATTGTTTGGGCCATGCTTTTCCTCTGACTGTTCTGGCAGTGCTTGGGTATTTTAACAAGGTCTGTTCTGCAATAAACTGCTGCTTAGTAGCTTTTTTTTTTTTTTTTAAACCCAGTTTATGACCTTTATAACATTCCTCCAAAGTGATCTGGAGATCGTTTTCTCAATAATGAGTCATTGGTATCCACTTCATGAAGCATATCTCTGAAGGATGATGAAAGGCAATATAACATTTAACTCAAATGCTGCTAAGGCATGGAGGACTATGTGAGAAATTTTCCCAGTAGAACTAAGTTTGATTAGCAATAAACAGAAAAATAAAATACTTGTGATTATTTACACATGCAAGGACACACTTATGAGGTGGGCACAACACTGAATTAAAAGCAGAGGCATTTTGAAATCTGAAGGAATAGCATGTTTATAGCTTTTTCACCTGAAATGACAGGCAGGATTATGAGGTTTTTTAAAGCCCTCTCTGTATAAATCAAGTTTAATTTGAAATTATATAATAAATTGATAATAGAATTTTGAAATGGAAAAAAAAAAAAACCTCGGTGATGGAACCCTGATGGAGGGTTAGGTAGGAAATGGACTTTTGAATGTAGCTGGTGCTTCTGTCATGCCCATCACTGAATGTTGATCTCTTCCCTTTGTGTACATGTGTCACAAATGTGTATGAATGATATAGGTAATAAATAATTGAAATTTTCTACCCCAAAAGATCTAGAGGGATCTCAACAGACTTGAACATTGGCCCTATGTCCCAAGGGTGCTTTTTCAAGAGGCAACTGGACTTTCTGGTAGTTCTCTCTTGAAAAAGCATCTTTGGGGCAACCATGACCAGGATGGCTGAGAATCTCCATAGAGACTGGGTCCTATATAACCAAATGAAATTCAATGTAGAAAAAAGTAAGGTTTTATACTTAGGCAAGAAAAATCAAATGTACAGATCAGGTGAAACCTGGCTAATTGTCAGAGGGATCTTGGAGCCCTAGTGGACAATCATTTAAATATGAGCCATAGTGTGCTGCAGCTGCCCAAAAAAGCCAGTGCAATCCTAGGTTGCATTGGGATAGAATCAAGAACAAGTGAAGTATTAGTACATTTTATAAAGCCTTAGTAAGACCCCACTTAGAATATTGCATCCACTTTGGATCACCATACTATAGAAAAGAGGCTGAGACTCTGGAAAGAGTACAGAAAAGAGCAACAAAGATAATTAGGGCTATGGAGGCTAAAACATATGAAGAAAGATTGCAGGAATTGGGTATGTCAAGTCTAGTGAAAAGAAGGATTAGGGGTGACATGATAGCAGTGTTCCAATATTTGAGAGTCTGCCACAAAGAAGAGGAGGTCAACCTATTCTCCAAAGCACTAGAAGGGAAGACAAGAAACAATGGATGGAAACTAGAACTAAGGAGAAATTTCCTAATTGTGAAAACAATTAACCAGTGGAACAGCTTGCCTTCAGAAGTTGTGGGTGCTCCATCACTGAAGACTTTTAAGAGACTAGACAGCCACTTGTATGGAATGATATAGAGTCTCCTGCTTGAGCATGGAGTTAGACTAGAAGACCTCCAATGTCCATTCCAACTCTGTTATTCTGTTAAAAGAAGTGGTCATTTAGGAACATATGAGTCATGGAGCACTGTTTGATGAAATGGATTGTAGGTCTTATAATGAAGATCCAAGATCCTTGATTCCATTCTTTCTACCCCATCTGTCCCAAAAAAACTTTCTTAGGATAAGTTTTGTAAGTTGTCGAGTATGGAAAGGATGAGGAATATTTAAGAAAAACTCTATGCTTTCCTTATTTATTTTTTTATTGTATTATTATGGTTATCCCTTTTTTTTGTTTGTTTAAATGGGTATCTGTGTAACAATAGCTTTCATTTTCAGGAATTCAAGGACAATGATTCAGACTAGCAGAAGAAAACAAGTCAGAGGAGGCGAAAATCATTTCTTGCCCAAAGGCTCTTCCTTCAGAATGCTTAAATTGTTTTTTTTTTTTTTTTAAACTGCGACAGTTAAATTGTTGTAGGAAAAATTGTATCGGATTGAAATTTAAAATGGCGTTTGAAACCTTACCTTTCTAGATTTTTCTTTGCTATCCAAATATTTTGTAATTCTATTCCAACTGATTCCATAGCTTAATTCTTTTTGGATTTTTTAAAAGGTCAGAAGAAGGAGAAACTCTATATTAAAGTTTTGCTTTATTTTCTTATTCTTTCTTCTCTTGTTTTTTCAAGGATCTTACTGTTAGGGTCAGTGTCATCTGAGCTAGATCTTTCAGAGAAATAATTTTTAATGCTTTCCATACATTCTCAAGAAAATGCCTGTTATTTGTGGAAGAAAGTTTCAATTTCTCCTTTGACAGAATGGAACTACACATAAATCCTTGACTTACAACTGAGCTCAAAAGTTATATAGCTAAGTGAAACATTTGTTAAGTGAGTTTTGCCCCATTTTACAACCTTTCTTTCCACAGTTGTTAAGTGAATCACTGCAGTTATTACGTTAATAACATGAACCTGGCTTCCCCATTGGTTTTGCTTGTTTGAAGGTCGCAAAAGGGGACCACAGTGTTAAATCTGAGTCAGTTGCCAAACGTCTGAATTTTGATCACATGACTATGGGGAGGCTGCATTTGTTGTAAGTATGAAAAGTAGTCATAAATCACTTTTTTCAGCGCTATTGTAACTTTGAACAGTCACTAAGTGAGCTGTTGTAAGTTGAGGATTAGTTGTACATCTGACTCAGTTTTAATAAAGGTAGGTTAAAATCTCCACATAGACATGAAAAAGAGATGAGTAAATATTGACGTGAATACAAAGTCTTTTCTTCAAGAGAATTACACTTCAGTTGGAGTCCTTTATAGGCAAATCATCTGTGGGAAATCATGTGAGTTTCAATGAAATAAAATTCTCAAGGACCTCGATTAGGTTAGGCCTGGAGATTAAAAATAGATTTCAGTGGCTAGAAAAACTACACATATAAAGATCATGTGTGAAATTGTCTCAACAAGCAGTGCAATCAAGGGATAGTTCTAGAGCAGGGGTCTGCAACCTTAAGCACTCAAAGAGCCATTTGGACCCATTTCCCACAGAAAAGAAAACACCAGGAGCCACAAAACCTGGGTGGGCATGGCCAACTCAATGTCGCTCACTTCCATCAGTCACATGCCACACCTACCCAGCCGGTCATTAGGGCAGAGAACCAGTTGTTAAAAAACACCGGGAACCACAAAACCCTTTTGACATATCTCTCCCTCCCCTCCCTCCCTCCCTCCCTCTCTCTCTGTATCTCTCTATGTCTCTCTCTCCCCCCCCTCTCTCTATATCTCTCTTTCTCTGCCATGGCCACTTCTCCATCCCCCGCTGTCACCCTTACCTTCTCAGGCCAGGAGAGGAGTGACTGGGAGGGGAGGGCGAGTGGTGGGGCCAGGCAGTGGTGGGATCACCCGACAGGGAGCCACAGCAGAGGGCCCAAAGAGCTGCATGCGGCTCTGGAGCTGCAGATTGCTGACCCCTGATCTAGAGAATTATCAGTTTCTTGGAAGATGAGAAATTGGTGGATATTGTATGATCTGTTAATAAAATTATTTTGGAGTTTAGGTATATTCAGAGAGTTTTAGGTGTAGTTTTAGGTGCTCCGTAATCGCCAACAACCAAGTATACCAGCATGTTGCAAATAATTTAATTGTGAGCTAATACATAGTTTGAATCAGATAAAATAATGTAAACATGAAAAATAATACTATGTTTTTTTGCCACCCAAGTTATTTAGAAGTCAGATTTATAGAAAGAAAAAAAGCAAAGAGGTACTTAATACTGTATTATCTTTCACAGAAAGGCATGATTCTGCCACGTTTTTCTTCCAATCAGTAGAAATTCTACTTTGGAGACCAAAAAAATAAATGTTTTATTGAAACAGCAGTCAGCCAGCCACTGTAAAGCTTGATGGAAGGAATTGCACTAACATCTCAGATCCCACAAGGCTTTATGTCCATTGACATTTCAGACAGATGTCTATTTTGGTTTTGCTTCTGAACTGCACCACTGGTCTCTGAGCAGCTTTATACTTAGATATACTTCACTTTTAGGAGCTTGAGAAAACTTCTATTTTGATCTGTCCTTTATCCCTAGTATACTTTGGAATTCTTAAGCATTTTCTTAGCTTAGACAAGGTCAGGAGACAATCATCAACAACTTCATAGCCTTTTCCGAGGATAAATCCTCGCTTTAGAAAGAGATTTGTTATCTCCATATAAAGCAATAGGATTTTTTGTATGTGTGTACTGCTTGGTTACTTATTTTTATTACTTGAAGTTTATGCTGCCCCATGCCACTGGAGTTCTCTGTGTGGAATGCACTAATCAGGAACATGGAATTGAATCTGGACATTTAACTGAATGTGGAGTAGAACTATACGGATTCTTCTAAACACCGTTATCTGCCAGATTGGCTGTTGAATGACAGCAACTGTGGAACATCCTATGTAAGTAACAATCAGCCTTTGGCTAGAATTTGATTAAATGTGAAACTCTGGAGTTTTCTCCAAACATTTCCCTCATTTCACAAATTTCATTTTTTTCCCCAGCCTGAATAGACTGCAAATGGAATATCTTAGACAGACATGCATACCGTCAGAAAATTCTTCAGTGCTATAAAGTCAATTTATGGTTCCAACCTGCTGTCATCTGATGAGTTGAGTCTGAACAAAGACCAGGAAGGACTGAAAAACCATTGGCTGAAGACTTTTCCAACCTACTCAGTAGGCTGTCCATGGTTAATCCTGGTGCTTTACAGTGGATTCCTCAGCTGCCAGTCTGGGATGCCTCAGATCTGCTTATTGTATTGATGAGCTCAAGAACGCAAACTCATAGATGAACTCAAATAAGGCAATAGGACAGGATGGCTGTTCTGCTCAGATTTACAAAGCTCTAGACCCAAATGCATTGCAAGTGTTCCAAGACATCTTGAAAAATATTTGGCACACAGAGAAGGTACTTGACAACTTCTGTGTTGCCCCCACTGTGACTCTGTATAAAAATAAGGGCAGCAAACTACAGTGGTATCTCACTGCTTTCCATCACAGGCAAGATTTTTGTCTATACTCCCCTGAATAGACTCTCACTGTCTTGGAAAGCTACCTCCCATAAGTGCAGTGTGGCCAGAACAGAGTACAGCAGACAGATATTTGCTATGCAACAAGTCCAGGAAAAGTGCAACAAACAGAACAAACCTCTTTAATCTGTCGTCATTGACCTGGCAAAAGCATTTGACACTGTAAACAGGGAGGCTTCATGGATGCCCAAGTATCCATGTGAAATTGATTCAACTCCTCCATAACATAATGTCAGGATAGGTCCTTTACAATGGTGATACAGCTGCATTTACTATGTCTAATGGGATGAAATGAGGTTGTGTACTAACCCCATTCCTGTTCAATGTGTTCTTTGTTTGCATGTTTCACATACTGTCCAAGATCTGAGGGAGGGAATATATATCAGATGCTGACTTGACCTTTGCTGCTTGAATGCATAGATGAAATGCCATCATACTGTCTTCAAGAAATGTTCTGCTGATAACTATGCTCTCCACCATACAGACAGTGATCTACAGTTGATGCCGAACAAATTCCCAGTGCTGCTATGTTCTTTGGCTAGACTACCAGCCTTAACAAGATTGAAATATTTTACCAGCAAGTGCCAAGTATCAAATTCATAGAAGCAAAAATCACTGTTAACAACACCAAACTGACAGTGTAAATAGCTTCAAATATTGGGAAGCATTATTTGGAGTGATGGGTCTTTAGACAAAGAAATTGATTCCAGGAGGAGTGAGGCCAGCTTGGCTCTGGAACAGCTGCTTACTAGAGTGTTGTACTAGAGATGCAGCCACATCACCACAAATCTGAAAATCTACAGGGTTGTGGTTATCCCTGCTCTCCTATGTGGATGTGAGTCCTGGACTCTGTACTGATGACACTTCAAACAACTGGAGAAATTTTACTTGGACACTCTTCACTCCATCCTTGGCATTTGTTGACAAGATTATATATCCACCCTGGAAATCTTGGATGATACAAAGTCCACCAGTGTTCCATCTCTGATTATCAAAGTCAGAGGCTGTGGATGGAACACATCATCAGAATGGATGAGCACTGTTTGTCTCGCTGATTGCTCTGTTGTGTCCCGGAGACTGGGAAGAGACTCCTGAGAGTCATCCATGCAAATGTTACAAAGATGCTGTGAAGGAAACCCTATGCCACTGTGCCATCCAGTAAAGGGAACTAGAAATTGTGGCTTCTGATAGAATCCCGTGCTATGAAACCTTAATTAGCTTTGAAGATACTGTAGGTGCTGCCAAAAAACTAATAGATAAACTCTAAGCAGCATCACAGAATAACACCCACAGTTATTACAACAATGGACTTCCAGTGGCCTCATTGTATAAATTGTGCATTTCCAGACTAGGACTGTAAAACCACCTGCATCCCCATAGATTAATTGCACAAGAGCATTTCTTCTTTGAACCTGAAAGACTACCCATATATCTTAGGTAAAATAGCTATTCAAATACAGCATGTTTCAGATGCATCTGAAGTTAGAGTGATTGGGTTCCAAGCTAAGCCACATTAGTGTATTGTTTTTTGCCTGGTCTATTTTAATCAAGGAACCACCAAGGAGGGAACTATGCCTCCATCAAAAATGTCTGGGCAAACTACTTCATATCAACAAGCAGCAAACCCATATCACTTGCACTGATTATGTTACCTAGTTTGGGTAATGAAACATCAGCAAGCAAGCAAGCTCAGAGAGCACCAAGGACTCCACAGTTCAGTCACAAACTATAGATATTCTTCTCTGTTGGAGACACATCTTTGCTATGAAGTTATTAAGCATCAACTATACGCAGATAGTAGTACTGACTTACTTTGTAGAGCTGTAGTAAAGATTGTAAGATGACTTGACTACATGAAGTGCCTGAGTAATTAAAGAGTAAACTCTGAAGTACTTAAATACTAAATCTGGTTTATTGCTGTTTGCTACTACCTACTGTATGGTGTAACCAGTGGTGAAATCCATTTTTTTTTACTACCGGTTCTGTGTGCGTGGCTTGTTGAGCGTGGCAGGGGAAGGATACTGCAAAATCTCCATTCCCACCCCACTCTGGGGCCAGCCAGAGGTGGTATTTGTCGGTTCTCCAGAACCTGGAAACTACTCAAAATTTCCACTACCAGTTCTCCAGAACCTGTCAGAACCTGCTGGATTTCACCCCTGGGTATAACCCTAAAAAAGAGTTGAAGGATACTTTGCTTACTGAAAATCTATCTCCTGAGAAGCAGAGACAGCATTTAGTAGAAACAAAAGAATAAATGCTTAATAAATTGAACTTGTATAACTACAGGGAGACATAATGTTGCAATCTAAAATCTATATCAGTAATGATTTCTCTCTCTATGAGAGAGAGAGAAAGAGAGGGGGGAGAGAGAGAGAGAGAGAGAGAGAGAGAGAGAGAGAGAGAGAGAGAGATTTCCATTTCCATCTATAATTATATTAATGCAGAGCCAAGGAACACATCTGTTATTGGCATCTTTTTCTTTATTCAATTCCAGAAGCTACCGACAACACCTGCTAAGTGCGTATTTGTTCCAAACTCTGCAGTTCTATTTATTGTTGTTTCATAACTCAACTACCTACAGTTCTGTTGAACCCTGATTCTCTCAGTACTGAGAAATCATAAATTTTAAGAAAAGTGCCAGCATTAAAGATGCAAAGTTAAACTGAAGAAACAAAAAAAACACAACTATTTGCAAACAGGTAGTTATCCAAAATATTAATTATATTACTACTCTTTTACTTAGTTTTTACTAAGAATCCTCTCCTATTGAATAATGAAAAATTTAAGGAACAAAGGGTCTCAATGCTAATGGTGTCATACCAGATTGGAGAGCTCATGTGTTAAACTAGTGGGAAAGAGACATTACCTCAATCGGGGTAAGAAAAAAGCTGTGTTCAAAAGCTTTGTTTGAGTACACTATGGTTACAAACATAAACATTTCTAGGTTTTTAAACAATGGATTCTGTAGGGGAGAGCCATGTTTTCCCTTATCTGCTCTTCAATATCCTCCATACTATTCATTGATAAGAAATCTTATGGAGGATCCATGTGCACCTAAGCAATTCTTAAGAGAGAGACTGATAGATTACAATGAGTCTGGTTGATGATCAGAAACGTTTTTTAGCTGTAGTAAGAACTCTGGTGGCACAGTGGTTAGAATGCAGTATTGCAGGCTAGTTCTGCCCACTGCCAGCAGTTCAATTCTCACCGGCTCAAGGTTGAGTCAGCCTTCCATCCTTCAGTAAAATGAGGACCACATTGTTGGGACAAGATGCTGACATTGTAAACCACTTAGAGAGGGCTGTAAAGTACTATGAACATAGAACAGTGAACAGAGGATAATAGAGTTGGAAAGAATCTCGGAGGTTTTCTAGTCCAACTCCAAGTTCAAACAAGAGACCCTATATCATTTCAGACAAAGGGTTGTCCAGTCTCTGTTTCAAAGCCTTCAGTGACGAAGCACCCAGAACTTCTGAAGGCAAGTTACATAAGACTAAATGTTATTGCTAAATGCTACTCATCTCTTTCCTCTGTGGCATGGCCATTGCCTCAACACAACCTAGAATTACAAATAAGTCTAAGCCAATTATGTTTCTTGGGTAACAGGAGAAGAAGAAATTCATTCTGTTCCTCACAGCAAAGATGATAACATTGTAACCCAATTAAAATATGCATTTCACTAGGGAGATGCTTGATTTATCATTTCAAACAAACATGTCCTTGCACCCTAACTTGACCATTGCCACTTCTTCAGATGTTGAAGCAACCTTAAGAACCTCCCTGGAATCAGATCTTATCTCCTTCTCTAGCTGTCAAAATTCCTAGAGCTTTATTTCTATTAAGTTTTGCCAGTGATCTCTACAAAAGAATACCTAGATAAGAAAATACTCAACTAGACAACTTTTATGATGAAAGTAAATAATCTCCTTGTGTTAAAAAAAAAACAAACACAAAAAACAAATAAAATCTGTCTTTTGTTTAGGATAACATTTTCAACATCAAAAATAATACATTATTCATGTACTTTTTCCTCCTTTCTTTATCCCCCATGCTCTACTTTAATGCAAAGGCCAACATTAGTTCAAAATTATGTCTTTTGTTCTCTGAGTGCTTTCTTTTCATTCTCTAACCAGGCTTCAAAAAGCTAATTAAAGCGGCATAATTAAAAGTTAGAATAGGGATGGAAACTAGAGAGAGTGGGATTAATGGAATACACATTTTTATATAATAAGGTGAAGTTATAACAACAGGGGAAATCAGAACTTGAATGATTGTATTATTAATTATGCTTGAATAATGTGGTGATTGGCATAAAAAATAACACATTGAAATATTGAATAACTAAATAATGAAAGATTATAACTCAACATAAATATGTGTATCATTATTAGAACTATATAAGCTTGCTAAATGTAACAAATATGATTAATAATATTTTATTTGTATTAAAAGGAATGACACTCAGAATATGGTGATTGGCATAGAAATAACATATTGAAATATTGAATAACTAAATAATGAAAGATTATAACTCAAGATAAGTATGTGTACTATTACCAGAACTATATAAACTTGTCAAATGTAGTAAACGTGATGAATATTATATTATTTGTACTAAAATGTATGACACTCAGGTGCCATACTGTTCATACACTGATATGTTTGTAAAATAATAATAAATAATACATAAATAAAAGCTAATTAAAGCGCATTCAGAACCATTAAAGTTCCTGATCATGCCAAATAGGTATTTGAATCTCCCTCTCCACACTTTATTTACATTCAATTTCTTTCCTATTTTTTCTATTCTCTTATACAGATATGTCTAGGGAGTTTTGTTTGGCTTTTTTAAAAAAGGCAAGACATATAGAAAGAGACTGGACAGAGAAAGGAAAGAGGAAAACTAGCACCAGTCTGTTAACTGCCAATCTTCCAACAGCCAAGGAAGATGATTTATGGAAGGGAAGTAACATCTGCCGATGAGCCAGCCAACCAACCTTTCAGAATGGACAGGGTTGTGTCAGGTCTCCAGAAACAATGCCTCATTTTATGATGTATTCCAATCCTCTCCATCCCAAAAGCTGGAAGTGGATTTTGTTTACAACAGTAATGCTATCTTTCCATTAGTGAGGCATCTCTTCTGCTCGGATCTCATATTTCATGACTCAGTTAAAAGAGTCATACCATTACAAATGTGTACATATTTTTTTTCACCTTTTGTGAATTCAGTGAGAAATACCATAACACTGCTGCTCATGCCTTGACTTGGAGTCAAGAAATGACTAGACGATGGTAGTCTGCATTGTGTTCCAGAATAAGAATTCCCCAAAGACTCTCAGCTGAGTGTTCAAGAAAGATCAACCTGTCTATGATTAATGCATCTCAACATGGTACTGAAGTACTGGATCAACACAGCAAAACTTGCTTTTTTTCAAATGATCAAGTGAGCAAGACTTCATTCGTGTGCAGTAAGCTCTCAATATTATAACCCGACAACACCCTGACAAACTCCACAGTCTCACAGTTTAAGAAAGACTTAATGATCAGCATAAATTTGCTGGATCTGTCCCTTAATGCCAATTCTAGCCATGCTAAGCACTTGCATCCTCTCAGCTAAACAAGCCGCTAGTAAGGCAGACTAAACAGAGTTAGTTTTCCTGCTGTCCTTCTTTAGCGTAAAACCACAAAAATCCTTTTGACAAACATCTTAGAACAGTAAGTACTCTTCGGTAATTTACTTCCAAGGTATTAAAGCCAAGTTTGGAGTGACAGAGAAAATAACTGCTTGCATTATGCTGATTAAATGAGCCAATGCAATTTTGTCCAAAAAAAACCCTCTAGGACAAGATATATCTCAAGATTGTAAATGGAGATCGGTTCATTTTGATCTCATGCCACAGGTATGTGATTGGCAAAAGATCAGGGCTTGAAGGCAGCATCCCGGCTGGCAAACAATAAAAGAGTTTATCAAACTACTCCGTTCTCTGATTGCTGTTAGCCAGCTTCAATGATTATGCAGCTAGAGAAAAAACAACAACAAAGACACATTTTTGCTTCAGGTAGAGAGAGTATGAAATGAAGACAGCTAAACATATAGCACCAAAGGAGATAGGGAAAAGAGAAAGGTGCTGCATCCAATGCAAACACACCTATTCAAGAAATAGTTTGTAAATCCAAATAAATAACATGGGTGATTTTTGTGTAAGAAAACATTTAAATACAGGGACTCCTCATTTTGCAAATGTTTTGTTCACTGACTCTTCACAGTTGTGATGCTAATGAAAAAGTAACTTTTTCAAGTTACTTTATAAGCTTTGGAGGTTCATAAGGGAAAGAAAAGCTGAAAGAAAATCATATGCATAGTGTGGGGTTCATTTAACAACCACCTTGCTTATTGACTGAGTTGCCGACTCAATTGTGGTTGCTGAAGGGGGACTTAGTGATAAGCCAAATGAATCTAAGAAGTTAAGAATTTGGCAAACTTTACTTGATTCAGAGGCAAAATGGGCGCTTGATCCCAAGCAATACAGTAGAAACAATTTTCAAGCAGAATTCTGGAATACCTATTTACAATATAGAATATATAATGCTTAAGGTGTACAAGAAGCTTCATACATTTCCTTGGCTGGGTCTCCATACTGGGCAATATCCATCTGGTAAGGTCTGTGCCAGAGATAATCCATGTTTTTGGATGGATATTCAGATTATTGAAGCTGTTTAATGTTGTCTGATTCCACTTCTGCCATAAATATTTCATCTTGCATTTTGTAATACATTTAATTCGTATCTTTCCCAAAAACTGTGGACACTTAACATATACAGTTGAATGTTGCCTTTGAAGCAGTATCATAACTACTAGAAAAACCTTCAAAAACCTTCCAATGTTAAATCT